ACCCCCTCCCCGCCCCCTGCCCCGCCTGGCTTTTGCACATGACCACAGGGCTCCCAGTGCCAATCATGGCCCCGCCTCCCAGTCACTCCCCTGCTCCCACCATGCTTCCCTCTGGCGCCCTGCCAGAAATTCAGAAAATACTGGACATTGCACATGTCTGGTATCTTCTGAATTTTTCTACCAGACAGAGGGTGCAAATACTGGACTGTTTGGTAGAAAACCAGACACCTGGCAACCTATATGATTGAGAGGAAAAATGATCCCTTTGATCTGGTCTAGTAGTGCCTTAGCAACAGGAGATCTGGCTTCAGTCCTAACTCTGACACAGACTTCACTGTTATCTTGAACAAGTCATTTAGGCCCAATCCTCAATGGTGTGTAGGCTCCTCCCTCCCTCGAGGCTCTGGACTTTAATCTCCACCTTAGTTCTTCGCCAATGAATGGGGATTATTCTTGGATGAGTGCATTATACAACAGGGCCCTCATGTCAATGGGGCCTTCAGGTGCTACATAATACAACCAATAATAGGATCTGGAGAAAGGGACGCTCTTGCTGAAAATAGTTATTTCCACAATGCTACAGCAGAAGGGTAGGGAGAGGGCCCCTCCTGCTGCAAGGCACGCAGAGGACGGAAATGCCTTCATGTGAGAAGAGTGGGCGGTCTTTCCCCATCTGCTAGTGCCAGAAATGAGCCCTGAGCAAGGCTACCCCAAACCTAGGGGAGAGGAATGCCTCAATTGACCCAGAATGAGGCAAATGTTGTAAAATGAACCATCTGGCCACTGCCTTAGGAGTCTGGTGTGAGGCTGTAGGTTTACTCCTCACTGGTGCCTGTCCCAAGTATGTGCAGGTGTATTGCTACTACCTGTTCAGTCTGCTGTACCCATTGTTGTCCCCAAACAGGAGGAGATCTGACCCTACCCAGGCACTGAAACATCAACATGCTCCTCTTTTTCCAGCTGGGCCGAGGATAGCCACTCTTTCATGGGTGGCAGGTATGTTAGGTGGAGGAAGGCACTGCCTTCCCTAACCACCAGCCTGGCCCCACCCACACTCTGCCTACTGGGGCTGCATGTCCTCTTCTCTCCCTGTGCTCCAGGAGCCTCTGTCTGTGTGGAGCCTCATCTTCCTCTGATACTGAGGGGGGAGGGCCTGGGCAGAAGGGGTGGGAGTGTGGGGGCAGGGGAGGGCTTGCCTCCCTGAGCCTTTACCTTCACCCACCACCCATGCACACTCCCCTTCTCCATTTCATGGTCACTTCTGCTCCGGCTCTACACTCAAACACCCTCCCAGAGTGCACTTTGCCGTCTCTATACTCTTGCCCCATCCCTTGCTCTCCTTCCAACAGAGTACAGATCAAGCAGAGAGAGGTTCTTTTCCTCTTGCCCCATACACACTGATTCCAATAGGCTGAACAGGAAGGGGACTCTCCCTGATTCAGGAAAAGGGGTGGGTGGGTGTGGAAGCTGGCTCCCTGAAGCCAGGAAGAGGACAAGGTGCTCTGCTTCAGCTCCCCTTCCCCAACACACTCTAAGAGCAGTTTTCTCTCTAACACCTGCCACACATACTTAAAATCTGCCTCTTCCTTCCTCGTCATCACCTCTTTCTTCCATTTTACAGCCCCTTTCTCATAACCTCAGGTCAACTGTAATATGAACTTATTCTCCTCTTTACTGGGAAGAGGGTGCCTCTGTTTTGATTGAGGTGAATATTTATGTATGAGGGGGCTGCCCCATAGATATAGCTGCAAAGAAATCCCCTTCCCCTCCCCCCACACTCCTCTGCAAACAAAATATGAGCCTTGAAAGTGTGGCACATCTCTTCCCCTCCCCCCACACTCCTCTACAAACAAAAGAATATGAGCCTTGAAAGTGTGGCACATCTAGTCCTCTCATTTACTAATTTCAGCAGGGTAGTGGTGTTAGTCTGAATCTGCAAAAGTGACGAGGAGTCCTGTGGCACCTCATAGACTAACAGATTTATTGGAGCATAAGCTTTTGTGGGATAAGACCCACAAAGATTCCACTACATGCATCTGACTAAGTGGGTCATATCCCACGAAAGCTTATGTTCCAAGAAATCTGTTAGTCTATGAGGTGCCACAGGATTCCTTGTCATTTACTATTGCTTCCTGAGTTGGACAAGAGTTTTCCTTTGTTCCAGTTCCTTATATAGAGGCATATCCTAATTCTGAGATATTTAGGCTAACCCGTATGGGAAAATAATGGAGGGATGAGGCAACCTACCAGTCTGACATGGCTTCTAGTCTGCCATGTAGAAATCTCATTAGTGAATGTGTCTCAAACAAAAAAGTATATTTCCTGCTGGAGCCTCTAGAAGGGCACAACTTCTGGCTGGGCACTATTTTGCCATGTGATGCAAAGGGGGATGGTGCTGTAACTTGTGTGTATGACACCCCCGCTCAAGCATTCCAAAATCATTCTTTAGCTCCCCCCGAAACCAGGCATGCCTCTTAAAAATCATGAAATTGTATTTTGCTTGCTTGGTCTTCTGGTGTTTAGCCTTTAGGGCACACTTGCATTAACTCTTCAAGGTTTTCTGAGTAACCAAGAAAGCTAGAAGATTACCTCTATTTATTTCTAAATGAAAGGTGAGAGTCTCATGGAATCCTATGATTCCAGGAGTTGGGGCTTTAAGAAAAACATCAAATAGCACAATAACATACAGGAAGTTGTTAGCCATTAGCCCGAGAAGGGGGTAATTACAGCAGGACCTCTTGACCCAAAAATGTGTGGGGAGTGACAATCCCTTGGAGAAGCACAGCTACTGTAGAAGATAGAGGTAACTAGCATTGTAAAAATTATTTCTCTGTAACCTTTGGGAGACTTGGCAGCTCTGTTCTTGTCTCACCCAAGTGGTGGTGGGAAGGAGGTTACTGAACAGATAAACACAGTTATCTTTTAAAACCACAAAAAATACCCATCAATTTTAGGGTCCTCAGGCTCATGACTTTTTAAGCTCCTGCACATAGGAGCATATGGGTTTTTATCAGGGTTCAGAAACTCTTCTGAAATGCTGAATAGGGTGATGCCCATTGATGGCAGTTTGTGTTAAAAATCTCAGCCTAAATCAGTAGGGTGATGCCCATTGATGGCAGTTGTTTGTGTTAAAAATCTCAGCCTAAATCAGTGGTTTTCAAACTATGGGTCATACTGGGTGGTGGAATACCAAGCCCTGGGTCATTTTGCTGTAAGGTAACCAGAGGAGGTAGACTAAGGCAGGCTTCCTGCCTCTCCCAGCACTGAGGACCACGTTGCGGCCAGGAACAGTTTGGGCACAGGAGTCAAAGAAATCAAGTGGGGATGGGGAGCAGGGCATAGAGCCCCTTGCCCCCCTCCCCCTAGGAGCTGGACCTGCTGCTGGCCACTTCCAGGGCACAGTGCATACCATCATGCCATGACAGGCAGGAAACCTGCCTTAGTACGACCGCTGCATGGAATCCACCAGAATTAAGCCCTTGTCCAAGTCCAGAGCCCCCTCCTGCATCCTTCAGCCCTGCCCTAGAGCCTGCACTCTAGTCAAAAGAAGTAATTGTGGTGGGTGATGGGCACCAGGGCCCGACGGAGGCATGGGTGAGCTGGGCAGCTGCCCGGGGCGCCAACCGATGACGGGTGCCTTATGGCACTGTAAGGGGCACATGGCATCCCTTACAGCTGCCATCAGCTGTCGCGCGTGCCTGGCTCCCGTAGCACCCTTCCCCCCATGGCTGCAGGTCCCTGCACGGCCCAGCGCACGCGCAAGGCAGGGCCGGGCTGGGCAGCTCGTGCGCCCTGGGGGCAGGCCCCAGGCTGTGCGCCAGCAGCCATAGCGGGCGTGCACATGCGCCGTGCGTCCCGGGGGCAGGCCCGCGCACCCTAGGGGGGCAGGCCTGTGCCACACAGGTGGGCCCGCGCGTGCGCCGTGCGCCATGGGGCAGCGCCGCACGCCCGGGCCAAGGGCGCCAAAAGGGCTCGAGCCAGCCCTGATAGGCACTGACAATTTTCTTCAACTGGTTCATGAGACAGAAGTTTGAAAGCCACTGGCCTAAATGTTCCTCCTCTCTTTATCTTGTCCTGCCCCCTTCAATCTCTCCCTCTCCCCCAGATGTTTGGAAAGTTAAGTCTGAGCCCAAAGGCGCCACTGAGGAATGTGGCAGGAAAGTGTGGGGAGGTAAGTACCTACATGCATCTGTACGCAACACAATCCAAAACAAATATTTTATTGTACACCTGATTTTTCTTGAGCTTTCTAAGTGGCTCATAACTGCCAGAGCCCAGCTGGCCTTGGCTTTTCTCCTTGAGTAAAAAATCAAACCGACTCAGTTTCAACCAATCCAAACAGAACCAGGGTGTGGGGCTGTCGGTCTGGAGAGCCACGGGGCTGCGGGCAGTGTTGTAGGCGGCCCAGGCGGGGGAGGGAATAGCTTTTATTGGACCAATTCTCCGGTTTACTCAGGGCGCCCCTTTGCCCGCTAGGCGTCTCCGGGTGAGCGGCGAGGCGGCGGCGTCGCGCTGGTTCAAACCGTGTGGCGCAGCAGCTGCGGGAGCGGGCACTGGGAGGGGTCTGGAGCCCGGGGGGGGGGAGCGCAGGG